GGTGGTCGGCCTCAGCCTTGGATATGGGGTGAGGAGCTTGAGAATCCGAAGGGAAGGGAGTTGAGGAGCTGAAGGGCGATCGAAAAAGTTAGTCGAGGTAGTTTTGCCTCCTGAGCGCCTCCTAATGGGGGGGTTTCGTGCACGCTCAACTGGTAGGAAACCCTGGGAAAGACCCAGGACACGCTGGAGTGATCATATCTCCCAGCTGGGTCAGCCGGCTGGGCCTGCTGCCACCTCGACCCGACCCCGAACAAGAGGGTGACAACGGATGGGTAATAGTTAGCCAGGCATGCCAACATTTGCAGCTTACATTACACAAACACCTTGTTTTATCAGTTTATCACCTTTTTTTAATTCAAGCTTCTGGTGCCGATAACAAGTGCCAATATTATATGTGCTAAGATTGGCCAACGACCTGGAGCTGAACAAGCTCAAAACTGTGGAGATGACAGTGGACTTTAGGAAGAGCCCCCCAACACCGCCCCCCCCCCCACCTCACTATACTCAACAATACTGTGTCTGCTATCGAGATCTTCAGGTTTCTGGGATCCACAATCTCCCAGGACCTGAAGTGGGGCTCCAACATCGACTCTGCAGAGGTTGTACTTCCTGCGCCAGCTCAGAAAGTACAACCTGCCTCAGGAGCTGCTGATTCTGTTCTACTCTGCCATCATCCAGTCTGTTTCCATCACTGTGTGGTTTGGATCGGCCACCAAACAGGACAAAGCCAGACTACAACGGATTGTCAGGTCTCCTGAGAGAACTATTGGTTCCAGCTTGCCCTCCATCCTGGACCTATACACCTCCAGAGTCATGAAACGGGCCGGCAAGATCACTGCAGACCCCTCACACCCTGGACACAAGCTGTTCCAACTCCTCCCCTCTGGTGGGCGCTACAGAGCACCGTACGCCAAAACACACCGGGCACAGGAACAGCTTCTTTCCACAGGCCGTCACTCTGATGAACAATTAACAAGACGCCTCTATCTGCACTACTTGCACTACACTATACATTAGACTACTGCCACCTCATATTTTTATTGTACATATCACTAATGTTTATGCTTAGTTTGTGTGTTCTATTTCGTTGTCCTTAATGTCTTTTTTTTTTATATGCTGTTGTTTATTTGATCTATGTATGACAGGGCAACGTGTAACCGGAGACAAACTCCATGTATGTGATCTGATTTGGCAATACACGACTTACTGTGTGACCAAATCTATCTTTTCATTAAAATGTTGCATGACTATATCCCAGACAGCTAATAACTCAAAATTGCAGGCTCAAAAGATTTCTTTATTTGCAGTTAAAAGAACAAAGAAACAGCTGTTTGCTGGCATGTCCTTCAGGGTGAAATCAGCTCTGTTATTTTCAGTCAAAAGCGCAACCTATCTGCAAACTGTAGCTTGATGAAAAACTGTCACCTCAGTATTGCTTTTATTTGGCTGGAGGCCGTCAGTCAGGAAAAGTGTTATGGTTTGCATCACAATAGGAAGATTCCCCCGTCTGTGGCGCTACAAAACAGATTTGAAGTATGACGCCACTCTGGAAATAATGTTTTGTTTGATGAATTTTTCAAAAATCCCTATTGCTTAATGAAAACTAACAAAAATGTAATCTATGTTTAGCTGTAATGCAGATGTAAATTTTAAACCTTCTTGTCACTAAGAAGAAATAGGGCATCCGTTAGATTGTCATTTTTTTAAATGGGTGTTCACAGCCAGTAAGGCGTGGTTAGAGCATCAAATTCTTGGCTCAGCTGGCCAAGATGAGCAGCTTTGAGCGACTGAGTGAACCTGAAAATAAAGTACACCTGACCTATCAGTGTTGCCCTGCTCTCATGCTTGCAGTGGGGTCCAGCTCCCATCATGGCACACAAACACATGCTTCAATTAACTATCCCATACGAACCATTTAGCGACACTTGAGTCCATTCCAAAATCCAAGGTGCACTTTCATTGCCAATAATCGTTTTGAGCTCTGATTACAATTTTGAGTCAAAGTGTGTGTATCATTTGGTGCTTTTGGCTCGCTGTCACGTACTGCAGGGTAAAAGGAAAACTGGAAAATTATGAGAGCAGATGATTTCATACCGTTGCTTGACTTTGACCGTGCAGCAGAAGAGCAAACACTTTCAGACTTTTCAAAAGTGCTGTAAACACATTTTTGACTGACAGTAATCTAGTAAGTCATTAAGTCTGCTCTACATATGCACAAGTTTGTTTTTAAGGATGAGGACTTTTCTTTAAAGGTGTGAATAGAGTGAAAGCCTTTCTGATTCATGTAGAATTATGGTGTTAAAAAAAAACACCAACAGGGGCCACAATTGTTTGACCTACAGCATTCACACACCTCATCAGTGCACCGAGGAAGGAGCAGAAAAGAAGAAAGCTGGCTGAGTGACAGCCCAAAATATGAGATAGCCTAATGTCTAATCCCCTTTTTAGAAGAGCTTCATTGAAATGACTGTGAGCGGGGAGGACAAGTCAAAAGAAAAATTGGAGCATTGCGTATTGTATAACCATCACAAGGCGTCCTGGGTCTTCTCTGTGAAGTGACTTTGACAGCTTTGGGGATTAAGGAGCAGTCCATCGTGCATGGCCCAAACAGCAGGGATTAGACTAAATATGCTCACTCTTGTCTCTGGCTCCTTCACTTAGTGAATCAATAAAGGATGATTTTTTTCCACGGTAATGGAGCGCATCTGTGTGTGTCCTGAGGCCAGGCAGGGAGAAAAACACCTGCAGAAAGGGGGGGCGGGAATGGCTTCTGAGGCAAGGAGGAGGCAGCTGATAAGTTCCCCCGCTTACTGCTGCGCGCAGTTTGCTTAAAAGCTCCTTTTCAATGTATGTTGTTGTGAGATGCTGCAGCTCCACTTACACACCGAGGTAAAATACATTACCTCCTCGGGAGAGGCCAAGAGTCAGACTCTGCTAGACATCTCACATGTTTGTGCTGGTATGTACATGGAGAAATCATATGGCAATAACAAATCCGATAACGATGCCAAAATGTATCATTTTTACAATGGAAGACCCCGTCGCTCGCCCATCTCTTCCCAAGCGCATAGCTCGCAGGGAGTGTAAAAATGCAAAAGGTCCAATGTTTGGTTTGTTCATTCTGAGCTTCTGGCGGTGCAGCATAGCTGAGTCCTTGAAGGGGACACACTCCCTGTGTAGATATGAAGGGCTGATTTTAAAGTAATTAAACACAACATTCCTTGTTTCAGGTGATGTTATTACATTTCTGTCAATAGATCCCCCTAAAACCTTAAAAATTGTCCGTTTTATGAGAGGATAGATATGGATCTATGTATGTATCTCTTGATGGATCTTGTCCACTATGTAGTATTATCATGGATTAACAACTGGTTATGAATATAAATTTGGATTTGTTGATTGGATATATTAGCTTAATATTGATCCGGGATAGAGATCAACTTCATTTTTCAGGAGGCATTCCACCTGCCTGAACCAGTGTATAATTGCCCAGAACTAATGGGAAAACTATCTTAAGCCCTGGCTAAGGCAAATAAGAGAAATATAGATGACCAATTTTGGATTCCTATATATTTTCTGCTAGCTATTACCTTTTGTGTTCATCAGTTGTCAAAATTAACTGACCGCCAGTGGAGGCAGACGTTCTGAGAAGTAAAACTATTAATCCAATGAAAAAAGCATACGACACAAATGAGCTGGTCTGATAATGCTATCTATAGTTGCTATATGAGGAGTCTATTGAAAAACAACGCAGTCCAAAGGCATGCACATGTATCTTTGTTTAACCTGCAGCATGCAATGCAGTTACACTATAATAATTTGGAGAAGAGATCCATTAATAGCAGCATTAACAAATCGCTGGACCAACTGATTCAAATTACACACAGTATGTTTCATGGACCACTCTACACATAAATAACTCCTGCACAACTTTAATTAGAAAGTTGCCCCAATTTTCTTAAGGGAGTGGTTTAGAATTTGTTAAGTGGAACAGAAGCTAAAGAGAAAATAATTGGAGCTTTACCCAAACCCAAATCTGCCTCTAATCCATAAAATGACACCTGTCACTAGAAAGTTAGATCTATGTGAACTGCTTCCTGATCCGAGGGGGAAAAACCATGAAAACACACAAGCAGCACTTAATCAACACAGCAACCTTTTTGCCTGGTTCTGACACCCCCTGATCATCCCCATCCAAAACAACTTTGGGGATATGGGCAGCGAAGAAAATGAATCAAAAATAAAAAATGAAAATAAAAGAGGGAGGGAGGAATGGGAAGAGGATGTAGAGCGAGAAAGAGTGAGGGAGGGAAAAGTGGATAGCGCGATGGTCGGTTAACCGTTTCCTCCCCGCTGTGGTCTCATCAGACAAATCCCACGTTTTTATGCCAAGTCAAGTCATTTCAGTAGAGGGAACATCACTTAGACACGCATCACTCTTCCTGTATATTTCTTGCAAAGTGTGGAGCATCTGGAAAAGCAATTTCTAAGAAAAATTAAAATGTTTTAGGTGACTGAACTGCTCCTTAGTCTAAGTGATGCAACTTAATGTGTGAGTATCATAGGAGCGAGAGGAGGAAAAAGTGTAGCGGCGCTATTCGTTCAAGCAATCTCCAGATTACACTATAAAGTCAATTTCTTTCCCCAAAATTCTCTTTTCTTTAAATTCTGCAGAGATTGCTTGAGTCTTTCAGCTCATCATTGTGCCCAAGTGTTAAATGTCGCTGGTCCCTTGAGTTGTTTGCAGCAGCTGATTGTGACATGGAAGCTCTGCTAAACTCATTTTTTCTAGTTTCCAAGCACAAAATTGCACGTTGCAGTTTGCTCATTAGAAAATGTTGCTAGCTTGTCAAATTAATAACAATAATTTACTTTGTACACTCACAATAAAAATCTTTCTGTGGTCCAAGATATTTTGTTGTTCACATGAATAAAAAAATATAAACTCCTGGTGTACTTTTGGGGTGTTCCTTTAACAGCGATGCCATTTATGTGCTCACCTTTGCTGATCGTAGCCGGACTCCTTCCTGCGGCAGTGCAGAGTCACCACTCGGTGGCCTTCGCTCCTCACGTCCTGACTAACTATCCACTGGGTGGGATTGCTGGGACGAGCCCCAAGAAACGTCAGTCCTTCTTTTAATTTCACTCTGTGGAGAAAGAAAACGAATTTGTTAATGAAGATATTAGGCTGAAAGATTCTACTAAAGAATACGCTTATATCAGTAAGTCATTGATGAATCCAGCTGATCCTTAGATAGCAGCTGCGTCCAGATAGATATTTTTTTCCAGCCATTGTTCTGCCTAGCGATACATTCTCCAGATGGTTCACTGCATTGCATTGTCTGGTCTTCAAAAGACGCCCCAGCTGTTATCTTCTTTTGATCACTCCGCGTGCGCCTTTCTAGCATGTACGCTATCTCATGGGTTCCACATCAAACACGAACACTTTGGGAAATGTTGTTGTACATCTGTATTAAAATCTATTTATTTGCTTAAATTAGCTTATTAGAAATGATCAGACACTTTGGGATCTGCTTCCCATTGGGAATGTGCTTTTTTTTGCCATAACATGAGGGTGCTGTTTAAGTGTGATGTCACAATCCCATTATGTAACTCCTCTTCCTCCCATATCTGCCTTTGTAATGGATTCACCCTCTTGCAATCTGGAAAAAGACATTATGAAAAGGTTTCCTCGACTGTGGCAGAATTACAGCATCAATGTCCTTGGCTCAGTCCTCTACAAAAATGGGAAAATATCCATTAGATAAAAAAAAACGAAATTAAAATCTCCTACAGATGAAACCCACTTTATCCACCAAGAATAATCTGGGTGAAAGTGTTGACAAAAACATTGATTCAGACTAATGTTCCATAACATGTGAACAGACTGACTGAGGGTGACAGCAAAGTCTCAGGGTTGAAGGGAAGACTAAATCATAAGAGAAGGCCCAATCCCTTTCCCTATCCAATCCATACCAGGCTGGCTGATGAGACCAAAGATTGGACTTTGCTTTCATCTTGAATTTGTTGCTCCACTTTACGGGGCACTTTGCGATTGCATTTCTATGTACCAGTGAACGTATCGGCCCTCTCCAGTCATCTTCTTCTCTTTGATGTGATATCATGTCGTGATGAGGGTTGTATGCGAAGTGACAACGTGTAATATGACAGGAAGAATGAAGATAAACACAACATCGAAGGGTCAATCTGAATGTGTTTGTGTAACTGCGGATGCAGTCTTTCAAATAAGATTTGATACGGTATTTGCCAGCTGCTTTCCTCTCTGTTGTGTGTCTATGAATGAAAGGCTACATTTACAGATTTTGCCACATCGGATATTTGATCTTAAGGTTACGTTACACCACTTTCTGAGCAGCGGAGAGGACCCCATGTGGTCTTTGCTTTCACTCATTGACCTAATAACACCAATATATATTGGGTTCATGGATGAAAGCAAAACTCGAATCATTCATCATCACTCAGCAGTGAAGAGTGAAGGTGGTGAAAGAGGGGGAATGTGTGGTGGGCAGCAGAATATGTGTGCAGGAAGTGATCGCACAGGTGTGATTACTTTGGTTTTATGCACCTGACCCGACTGACTGAGGGCGATAGCTGCTAAATATTGCTTTATTCACAGTGAAACTTCTCATTATCGTTGTGTACTGATGAGTAGGGCTGCACCGACTCATTGATTTATATCTGTACACTTATATTTATTAAATTATCAGTTATTTTTTGAACCATATTTTTATCATATATTTATATTATATAACTTTCTTCTTATTTCATTATTTTCTCTTGAAAACAAAAAACAATCAGCAAGATCATATACCTTATTTGTCAGAGGCCTGATCAGAACATCATGGACCTCAAATACAAAAGGACGCATACTTCTTGCTTTGACACATGAAATAATTTATTAATGTCAAAGCGACCCTTTGCCTGAACTGGAGAATCTTTTTTTTCTACTGAAGCACTAGACTGAAAATGGTTTTGACATGCTTTTATTTTATCTTTGGAGTAATATGCAGTGAAGACATTCGCTGGCAAATGTACTTTTTGCACCAGTGTGGGGGAAGGGAAATAATTAAAACAATATATGGACAGAAGCAAGCGACAGTAGCAGCAGTCTGACACGTTTCATTTTATCAAGATGACCAACGGTGGATGTGTCCTTGCCATTACAACGTATGAGGAGAAATTACCTTTACCATAATGGTGATGAAGAAACATTTAGAAAAATGTATCTAACTCAAACACACACAAATTACTGAAAAACAATTAATAAAAATGGTTATAAAATAATAATAAAATCTATAACTGAAAATACAAAGAAATAATCCCCAATTATCACAGTATTTGCTGAAATACTCTATACGGGGTCCCTAAACTAAAAAAATCTGAAAAAAAATCTGAAAATTACCTGAACTTCGTTGACTCACACTCAAATAGATTGATGAAAAGTGGCTACACTAAAAAGTGACTTTTAACACTCCATCCTAACCACCCCCTCAACTACTGAACTACACATAATACCTTCCACTGTCAGTCTCAGGGTGTATTTCTGTCCCACTGAAGCTCCTCTGTTCACGCCACAGTGAGAGGAAGTGCTGAGAAGGAACTTACTGGCAGTAAAAACAACTGCAGCCCAAAGAGCTCGTGCACAGTTCCACTCGGTTCCCAATGGGGGCAGCGGGGTCTTGTACCTGGTTTCTTCACACTCCAGTGATCACGATGTCTATCATTGGTTCCCAGAATGTGTTAAACACAGCTGAGTCTCAGAGGGTAGCCGTCATTACTCCACAGACCATATTCCAGCTTATTGAGTAGGCGTTAAGACTAAGTGTCTTTTATTGACTTAATGGTCAAATAGGCCTTGTAACCAGCCAGCAGTCTCCTGAAGGTTAAATACATTCATCCAATGGGCCTAATAAACTCCTGTTGTATCCTCCGTCAGGGAATATAGGACTTCAAATAGGTCAGCTCTTTAAAATAAAGCAATCCTGATGTTTCCCACAGGAAACATCAGGATTGGAGCGAATGAATATTGGACCCTGTAGGATGTTTGGGGAGAACTTTGCACTGTGACAGCAAAATAAAGAAGCAAGATCTTTGAACTTGTCAACAAATGCAACAACGAATTGTGAATTGTAAGAATTATTCCAGTTTGTTATAAAACTGTGGCATGAGATGTTGCTCAGCACAGTGGATATACAGTATAATAAATGCAACACTTGGAATGTTTTTTTCGCATAATAAGTACTTGTCATTTCTCAACTAAAAGCACATTTTGTTGATCATAAGTCTGCAGCACTTTTACTTAAAATGTGATTTTGAGGATTTTTCTTCTTTTTTTTTTTAAAGGCATTTAGCTACTTTGAACTAAATGCCGACACGAACATGCTCACAATTCAACATGTTCACAATGACAATGACAATATTATTAGTATTCATTGGCACCCTAGTAAGTCTGAGAGAAAATGAGATATGCAGGTGCAATCAGAGACCACATAGAAGCCAAATTCAGATTACCACACCATTTGGTGTCATTATAACCCTTTGTTGGATAATAAGTGAAGAAAATCATGCCGCACTGCATATTCTATCTTCTTATTTTTTTCTCTCTCAACCTTGTTTTTCTACCCTGCAGCCCATCTACCAGCACACCCCCATTGTGTGCTCGGACTCCTCAGGGGCTCCCTTGATAAATAGTGATGAGATAAGTGAGAGCTTCTCCTCAGCGGGGCAGTGAAAGGAATAAACATTTCCAGACAAATCCAATAAGGTCACTGGCAAGACAACAATGGGTGTCCCCAACCGGCGTCTGTGTCCCGCCACCCTGGCTGCACTCCAGTTGCCTCTGTGGTCGGCTTTTCCAACTGACTCTTTTGGGTTGCTCCACGCTCACATGCACCACAGGGTTCGGTGACCTAATCTGACCACGTCTGTCCCATCACTCCCCTGTGGACCGTGAGCATCAACGGGCCCCTAAATCCCAGCGTGGAAAGCACAGCTCAAGACTCATCGTCACGGACCGTAACTAGTGAGCAGAGGCAGGAAACAAACACGCACACCGAAAAATAATAATAACTAAATACATCAAGGCAGACGCCCACACTCGTATTCCACATCGAAACTGACTTATTTTATTCCTGCAATGTACATTAAGACATTGAAACTTTTGAAAAGGTGAGGAAAAAGGACAAAAAAAATGTCAATGCTTTTTTTTTTACTGTTTTCATGTCTGTGTGTGCAGGTGGTCCTGAGTTAATGGATTGTGTAGTTATTCATAGTTTAAACCAAAAAAGCAGTTAAGACAGTATTGAGCTCGGGTGTGTGTCTGCTTGCTTATTTGCGAAGTTGATAACAACGTTAGCTGGCGGGAGTGAAATTCTAATAACGCTTTAATAGAATAACAACAGATTGATCTAAATACAAGGCATTGATATAACACAATGTCCCTTTATGAAAACTGACACAAGCAAGAGGAGAGACGATGCGTTCACTGTCTTTTGGCCATCAGCATTGTAAGATAAACATATTTTACCCAGTCTATCAGCATCACATAAACCATTTATCTTCGCGTTAATTATTCATTTTCTCTTTCTATTCATGGTACAGGATGTACACACAAGTGATACAAAATCCTCTGGAAACAATATCTTTTATGTGCAGATATTTTGTAAATACACAAAATATACAGTAAGGCAAATACGTGCCTTTTGCTGCGGTTGCAGTCATTTCCCCCACAGACACATTTTATTGGCTTTTCTTTTCTGAATCACACTGCAAAGATTACTGAGGTATCCATTGTTATGCCGAATGGCCATAAAAGACAGAGGAAACATATTTTGTGCGCAGATCTGTTTGCCAATCATCTGTGTAGACATGGTGCGAGCAACCAGAGGGGAACATTGAAAATCTCATCTGAAGAATTGACATGATTGCTATCATGGAGCGCAGATTTGTGGCGTTGCCACAGAATGTGTCCACCTAATTGGATTTTCAAGACATTCAAGAGCACAGTGAGAGGAAGAGAAAACAATAAACGCAGGACGGGGCCAAGGGGTAATAGAAACAGTCAATAATACTCTTAATAAAAATAATTTAAGACCTATGGAATATTTGCACTTCAACTAATATGTTC